TATTATTTTTGTATCATTTTTTATAACTTTTTAAAAATCATCAAATTTATTGAAGTCTTTAAGTGTCGCGCACTGTAAAAAGTTTATTGTAACGTTTCCTAAAATGATTAAATCACATAAATCACATGACATACATATATAACATGAAAGGGAGGAATTTTACCTCCAGTTAAACGTAGTTATTTTCTTTAAAAAAAAATAGAAATCTTTCAAAAAATTAGGCAGCCAATCAAAATCATTTGAAACAACCGATTTTTCTGCCACTGTTGATTTAAACGTAAAGAAATAAGCAGAATTAAAAATAAACAAAATATAAAAATATTAACGTGTTTTATTCCCAAATTTAGATCACTCGACCGAAAGTTGTTTAATTACGCGTAAACTGATTTGTTTTTGTAATCTGTTGTCTCCCCCTCTATCACAAACACTATTCCTCGAAAAAAAAAAAAAAAAAAAAATGAAAGAAATAAAAAATGATTTGCATCATATAAAGTTTCTCCTTTGTATATTAAAACATCAAGCTTTATTTGAAAAAGATGTACCTAATGACATTTTTTTTCAAGCACAAGGATATATTTCATCGCACAGTGATACGTTAAAATATACCAAAATCTACAAATCTTATAACACGAATCAAACTTCTTCGAAACAAAATCAACAAACTATTAAATCCATTCAATTATCAACAACAGAAGAAGAAAAATGTTTATTATTGAATAAAATATTTATAAAGTCTACACATTTCTTTCGCACAGAGTTATTACATAAATTCCTTAAAATTGATGAATACCAAAGAAGGAAATGGATGAATACCAAACATAAAATACCACATAACGAATGGAAGATTAAAAATAATATTTTAAACAACTTGGATCAATATTTACCAGGATTTAAATGGTTAGTTGAATATGATGCTAATAATCTTGAAGCTGAATTATCGAGTGATAGAGTCGATTTGTATTATGGCGGAATGGTCTTCGTGTCAGAAGTTGGTGTTATTATTATGCTTGATCTTAAATATCCCGAATACAAACCTGAATCATTTATAAAGGAGAAAAGAGTTGTAACACAGAAAGAGTCTTCTTATACGAGATATGAATATTGGAATGAGCAAGTATTGAGTCGTATGAGAGTTGAAAAACTTAAGAAAATGGTTGAGAAGAAATTTGAAGAGGAATGTTTTATGGTTATTGGAGCAAAATTTATTTATGAATCATCTCGCTTGGAATTTTATGATGGGTTTGATAAATTAATTGCGGGAAAAGTTAAAGAATTAACCAAGGTGGATAACTTGGATCAACTTACCAATGAAAATAATGCAGATGCCGGATCAACAGTTAGAAACTTGGAAGGTAAAATTTTTGATTTATTTTATTTTTTATTTCTTCGAAATCACTAAATCTAACTTTCTTATAGACAATGGAACTTGTGAAACCATTATAAATTGTTTCATAGTCGTGATCTGTTTTGGTATTTATATGTACAGTTTGAAACGGGACCTTGAGGCTCCACGAGAATGGGAATTTTTTGATATACAAGATGACGATACTTTTATTGAAAATTTAATTGGAGAAATTATTGTATTCTTGTTTCAATCAATTTTCGGTGATAGCCATGTACAAGAAAATTTTTAATATAACTATTAATTATTAATTAATTAAAAAAGAAAAGAAAAAACTAAAGTTGTCAAGAGCAAGTATTATTCTGGTACATTTCTTTTTATCGAAAAAACTTCCCAGTCCTCCCAATGAAAATCCCTCGATTTCATGATAGCATGTTGATAACTTTTCCTAGTAGCATGACCAATTGGATTATTAGGATCAGTGTTAACCCAAAGGTCAGGACCGGTACCAAAACAAGGACCATTCCATGGATGATCAAAGATGGCGCTTTTCCTATATTCTGGAATAACTTTAGATAATACGTGATTTTCATCTAAGGTGGTTTTAGCAGTAGAATCTATAGAGAAAACAAAACATTCTTTTTGTCCTCTATAAGAAGAAAACCAAGATCTTTTCCATGAATCATTAAGAGGATTATAACCGCCGACCAAACGATCGCTACCACGTATCTTAATTACGATAATAGTTGGTCCGACATTATCACATTTTTCATGAAATAACTTGGGGTTATTATTACCTTCAGATGCTCGGAATAATAGTTTAAAGGTATACGGTATTGATGTTCGCGGGTAAGATGTGCCGTGACCGTCTATCCAATTAACTAGTATTACCGCCTGTTTTTGATTTATTATCTTGGATTCTATTTGTGCACCACATGATCTTGGTGGAGGGATATCATAACTTTGGGTTGAATGAACGTCTCTCGTCATATGATAACGTGTTAGATCATCCAATAATTTTTTGGGTAATAATTTTGAATATGGACTCAACTTATTAAATTCATTCGATGAAATATCAAAAAACCTAATTAGTGGAATGCAATTTTTTAACGTTTTTTCCAAATTTTGATAATTTTCTGAAGTCCATTTAAAGAGATATGTATCATTGCAGCTATTTTCTCTGATCATCTCATCATCCAAGTCGTAGCTTAAGGAAAGGGTATTTGCGATACCCCATTTTAAAACGCAATTCCATAACTTGTATTCATTCATGCAGATATCATCACGTTTCAATAATTCAACTAAAGCAACTTCACTCAGATTTAAAAAAGATTCAGATTTAAAAAATGTTGAAGGATTTAATAATGTGACTTCTTCCAAACAATGATTTGTTAATTTGGAAAGTGCAGGTCTTGGTGAAACTATATTAAGGATTTCGACTAAATTTTCAATTATCCATGTTGGTCTATTTTGTATTAAGTACGTTTGGATGTATTCTATCAAGTCATCGATTATTAACTCATCTGCTGCGCATAGGATATCCAACATGTAGAATGGTACTTGATCTTTTAAATCAATTGTTCCATTATACATATATCTTTGAGAATATTTTAAAGGAAAAGAAAATGGAAAGAAATTTGAATGTCTACCACTTAATAAGTTGGAGTGCCACGAAAACGATAACAAATGCTTACCGCAGTATAACCTTGAAAATATTCGGAGAGATGTTTGGTTTCTCAAATCTGATAATATTATCCTCTAGAGTTCTTGCCCAATTATTAGAAAGAGCTGCAAAAAAATATTGTGACCTAACTCTTAATATTAAGGAATGAGCCTTAAATTCTATTTGATCCGGTGGTAAACCTACTTTAAGTATTACGTCACATTCATCGTTAATTGCTATTAATTTGCCAATATCTTTTGACAACCTACTCAATAAAAAATCCGTCATTGTTGAAGAATTGTTTGTTTTTTTTTAAAAAAGAAAAAAAATATGGTTATCAGAGAGCAATTTAAATTTTGTTAAAGGAGTATTTCGTCTTTTAAACTTGGAATTAATCATATCGTAATTTATCATCATTATATAAGGGATTCTTTAGTTTCTAAACTTCTTTATTTCTTTTTTGCCAATTAATTTGGTAATGATTACCTAAAAAATTTTCAAGTTTCAATTTATTTCTCCTTAATTATTTGGCAAATTTGTGTAATATTGTATAATAATTATGCAATTTCGTAACATGTGATCGAATTCTTGGTAATTTATGGTTAGGGGTATAAATACATTTAACCGAATTTAAATAGTCTCTCATGTAATTTCATTTGAACACGGCTAATATATGATTTCCATTATTTCGAATTAATATAGTTCTAAATTTTTTTATAGCAAGATTAAAAAAGAATAAAAGAAGGAAACTATTATTTTAGGCAACACTTACGATTTATCGGTTTCAATTTTTATAGTGGGAACCTGAACATTTGGATCATCATGCAAAGATTTAGCATATGTTGCTATTGCTGATATAAATCCTGCAGAATTTGAGTTTGCAATCCCTTTTACTTTTTTGTTTGTCATGAGATTTTTTTTTTTTTAAGGGATTAGAAAATGCATAAAACATTAATTTCATTTATCCCAAAACTTTTGTAAAAGAGTACCTCCTAAACATAATCCGTGTTCATCCGCTATTAATGCACCCTTTACTCCTTCAGAACCGATCCTAATAAAGGGTAAATGAAATTATTTTAATAAAAATTGTCTAAAAAAAGTTCTTGTATGATAGAAAAAGATTTTACAATGAATCCAGGAATGAAAGAACGGCAGATTCCATCTTTTAAAGGAAATTTTTTTTTTCAATAAAAAGAAAAAAGAAAACAAACACTGAAATTTTGCACTTAAAACATTATTTATATGATTTTTTTTTTTGATGTGGCAAAATGATAATGCAGTGTATCATAATGATTTGCAGATCGAAGATAAACCTTTTTGAATCCCATAATTTCCTAAATTTAAAAATTTAAATAAATTTATTCCTTCACATATCAAGTTGTAAAATCATACCAGGACGTCAATGCATAATGGCTGAGTAATCGGCTTATGCGCGAGTCGGACGCGGGTGGGATTCAACAGGCCGTGGGTGTGAACCCACGGTTTGTCGAACCCAGCGTGACCCCGGACGTCTTAAAAGGGATGTAGAATTTCTAGCGGGTTGGGTTGTGAGAAGTTCAAATAATAAAAAATTTTAAATCATTTTAAAAAAAAAAAAATTAATTTGCAAAAATGATAAATGTCGTTTGCGTGTGTGTTTTGGATGTTAACACGAGGATCGCACGAATTTGATCCGATAGTTTGGAAAATTTAAACAGTTTAAATCGCTTTTAACCACGTTTTTATGTAAACTGAACATCCTTGATGTATGAATGGTGCTTGCTTGAAATAAACTTTTGTGAAACACATCTAATTTTTTGGTTTTTTGATAAGATAAAGTCCCTCAATAAAATTGTACAAATTCATTTATTTATTTCGGATCGATTATTTTATCTTACCAATAAAGGAAGGTTATGTTCCTAAACCCGAAATAATTCCTGAATAGCAATTTTGAAATTGTGCGTGCGAAACTGTTATTTCATTAATAAAAGAAAATAAAAATTCTTGTTTATCCGACTGATTCCGATATAAAATTTTGTGAGACATAAAAAAAAGTCAGTAGCACATCCAAAATTTTTTGTTGAAATCTATTTGCAACTACCAATTAAGTATTCATCATCCCCGTCAAATAACTTTCTTTACCTTTCCTTTTCAACTTACCTTCCAAGTAGGAAACGCTTTAAAACACTTTCTTTTTTTTTATTTATATACTTCAAAGTTACCCATTTTTCTGTCTTTGTGTGTATTTATCAAGTTTAAAAGTTCACCGGAAGTAGTCAAGATGAACGGGGACACGAAATTAATACTCTCACTAATAAATAGGATAAGTGTGAAGGTATGAAACCCTTCTATAGATAATTCTTCCAACTAATTTTTAATAGAAAACACTTCTTGATTCGAATAACATTTCAATTAATTCACCTTTCATTCATTTTTTTTTTTTTAAAAAAAAAAAAAAAGTTGCCATGTAACAGCAAAAAAAAGCTCGAGGTTCTGGAACAAGATCCTCTCATATTACAAATTATAAACGCTATAATTGATTTATCAAGGTATAAGCTTAGTACGATAGCAAACAATTTAACCCAACTTCTAGAATCAATATCCAAGGTATGTTAATGTTAATTTTTGTCTTATTAAGTTTCATTATGTAAAAAAAAAAAAAAAAAATTTAAATTAAAAAAGTGATTAAAATAACCTAATTTTGAAATAATTAAGTCCTCATCGATGGTTTTGGAAGAATTTGTACCTATCGAAGTATTACAGTCTCAACTATTAATCTTAAAAATTTTATCGGCGTGTATGACAAACCATTGGAAATATTATCGAGTAGCTATGAGACAGTCCTCTGATAATTCATCCTTTACCGGAGACGATAATTCATCCGTGACTACATTAGTAAATCAACCTAAATTCAAATTACCTAAATCATGGGAAGATCCTCCACCATTAGAGGATTCTCTTGCAAAATATATCTTGAACATATTGTCTCGATTTCTACATCAAATGGCAAGTCAAGAAGATAATAATACCGGTCAACCACCAACTGGAAGCCCTGCCGGATTGTCTCCTAACCCATCTACTTCAACACAGGGATCATCTGCTACCTTTGATATAATTAGTGATATATATAAGAACGCTGGTCGCGTTATATTTTATATTAGTGCGTCTAATTGGAATGTTGTTTTTTCAAGGATAAAGACTCGCATCGGTTATTTGACATCTACAAATGATGAATGGCCAGAGACGGCAGAATTAAAATTGCTGGAATGCTCGGATTTAAATTCAAAACGGTTATCAATGGTTCTTCAAGGTTTGTTAATTACGATTTAACTCATAATAAGGTTCTTGTTTAAGGTCCCTCATGGCTAATCATGTAACCATTTATCATATTTTTTTTTTTCTTTTTTACTTAAAAACAAAATTTACAGAACTGTGCGGTTCCTTTTTGCATCTTAAACGTTCGGCACAAACAATGATGGCTAATGTTTTACGCAAGGCTATATGGAATTGGATAGAAGTCTTCCCAGCGGAATTTGTAACGCTCTGTCAAAGCCAAAAACGATTGGACGGAGGTCCTGAAATATTGTTCGATTATTGTAATAATTTAGCTGAAAGTCATGTTAGGAAAAGGTCCGTTTTTTGGCCGCTACAGACTATGTTGTTAATTTTATGTCCTGATATATTGTTTAATGCCTCAATGTCAGATCGAACGTCACCATCAAAAAGGGTAAAAAATTTATTAAGAATTGATTTCAATATTTTCAATATTTTTGCTCTCGTCACTTACTTTTTTTTTGTTTATATTCTTTAGGCAGCATTTCTTGATTCGTTAAAACAATCACTTAGACGATCAAGATTAGCAGATGTTGCCGTAGTATGTTATGTCGACATCTGTAAAGCATCTACTTATGTAGCCAAGAATGATTCTTCGGCTTTACGACTTATCGTTCCTGATATCGAAAACGATCTTAAAGTAATTTTTGATGATTATTTTCAACACGCCTTTCTTCATTCATAATTTGTATTTACTTTAATGCCTTTTGATCCATAGGCAAGATTATTCGATCCTAGTAGACCGTTTATGAACGACTCACAAATTGATCAAAAGCTTATGACGGATTGTTTAACGGCCTTATTCAGACTAAATCAAGATACGTTAGAATCTTTAATTCCGGTTTGCCTGAGTGAAAATGCGCCCAACGCTTTCAAATTAGTGTTAGTCAAAAGTTGCTATGCGATAGCTTCAGAGGTAAGTGCCTTATTTTACATATGCGAGTGATATTCAATCAAGATTTTCCCCTTTTTTAAAAAAAAAAAATTTACAAAATTCTAATTGTAGGAAAATCGATTTCCTTGGAATCCTAGTTTACCGTCAGTATATTCGATCCTTGCTGTACCACTCCGACAATTATTATATCAATACATGAACTTTAGAGATAAGTCTAATGATCTCAAGAAAAAAATTAAAGCAAAAGAAAAACCAGAAGAGCTAAATGAAAAGATGGAAATTATTCTAAATATCATCAAACTGTATAAATCTGATCCTATGCTAGCACTTGTTGTAAGTTGATTTGAATAATCAATCTGTTTTATTATTGAAATTATTTCCTCACATTTTCCTTTACTACAATTTACAGCATTGCGATCCTGATCAACATCAAGAAGAAATTCGACAAGTAATTTATGGTATAGCGTTATGTGTAAATGATTATAACAACATAATTCGAACCACGGCGGCGGAAACTTTGTTGGAACTTCATAATTTAGAATATATTGTAAAATGGGGTCCAGAAGATATGACAATGGATAACTTTTGGTTAATAAGGTAGAATAGAATTACAATTATACACACACACACATATATATATGATAGCATTTTTCTAAAGCTTTACACTTATTGTCTTTTTAGTTCTCAAGTAATGTTAGCTATTGCAAGACAAATTCTAGAGTTTACGGAGAGAGAAGATAATATAAGATATCTGCTTGAGCTTTTGCTTCAACTATTTGTTCGTCGTAACGAATTCTTAAAAGTGCACAGGGTTGAATATTTTTTTCATGATGATATTTATTTTTCAATTTAAAATTTTCCGAATCGTCTTTTTAACATTATTTTTTGTTTTAATAGGAAATATCAACTGTTGGGATTCAAGCCCCTGAACGACTTGGTTGTAATGTTGTGCTCGAGATCGCCTTGCTTGTTTTACTATGTTCATCTGACACAGATATTTGTTCCATGTCATTAAACTGTTTTGGACATTTGTGCCAAGAAGCTCAATTGACAACAGAAATTATTCCCGATGAAATGGATGTTCAAACCTCTTTCCCGAATGACTTGCCAATTATTGAAAACTTGGACGTCTATTTCGAATTATCATCTGCACCTTATCTAGTTCCAGGTAACTTAATTGTAATACATTTAATTGTTTAAAATAATTAATTATATACCTATCAGACATATATTTTCCTTTGTTGATATTATAGGTCGAATGGCGCAACAAAAGCGTATTCGAAAATTATTACGATTAATGAAGTCACCAACCCCTGGAAATCTCGCTGCATGGGAAGAGGCATATCAACGCTGGAAAATGCTTAACGGAATAATTACAGCAATGGAACCCAGAACTAGAGGATTACCTTGGCATCCTGGTCAGGCAAAAGCTGGTAGTAATTCAGTTGCGGTTTCGGAGGTAATATTTATTTCTTAAATGTTTTATATATAAAAGAAGAAACTTTCCATTATCATATTTATCATTTTTTTTTTATTTCCTTAGGCACAAACAAATGAATGGCTTAATTATACTGGTTTTCTATGTGCATTGGGTGGGGTTTGCGTCAATGATAAACAAATTAACAATCCACTTAATGGACGTATAAATGAGTCTTTGGGAAATGAACTTACAGATCGTAGAAATAATGGACCTCACGCAAATGTTCATTTAATGGTAGAAAAGTATGTACAAGAAATGGTGGATTTGTTGGTTTGTGATTCAGTAGTAGTTCGAGAGAATGTAAAGGATTCACTTGGAACCGAATTGAATCCAAGATTATATGTTATTTTATTTAAACATCTTGAATCCATCGTATCACGATTTTTTGATTTGGATGGTGAGCTGAGCCCAACCGAAAAATATACGCTGTTTGTAGAGCAAGCAATTCTTGTCTTGAAGCTTATCTTGGAGCGTATTCAAGATGCTTCGGAAAATTTATACACAGTTGACCTTGGAGATCTTGTTCTCTCTTTTGCCCTCTATTTGAATCGACTTGGATCTTCCCTTGTAGCATTACGAATTAAAAAGCGAATGTGTCAACTCGCCGAAATTTTAATGTATAAAAAAGATTATGTCACCCTTCGACAAGAAATTAAATTGAGAAATAGGCTTTTGGAAATTTTCATAGAATGGACTTCAGATTTTACAATGGTACATTAATATATGCATATTTTTTTTTGAATTGATTGAACTTTTATAATTAAAGAATTCTTTTTCTTCAAAGAAGACGGATGCTCAAGGAAGTAGTAGTAACGAGACAACTCCAAATAAAAGTGAGAAATTACATCGTGATTTGGATCAAGCTTGTTTGAAGACTGTGGTTTCTCTCCTTCAACAATTACCTTTACAACCTTCGGAAACTGTGCACGAGTCAGATTTAAGTGGTGTGAAATCACGCTTATTCTATAAGTATTTCTCGTTTTTCATCAAGCTGTTGAATCGATGTCGTATTCTCGAGGTACAGGCTTTTTTTTTGGGGGAGGATTAAATTTTTTTGATAATATCAATTAAAAATCAATACATTACACATTATGCTAGGCAATCGATAGCGGAACACATTCCGCGAAAAATAATTCGGACTTGCAAATGTTATTATCAAAGGTAACTCGAAGTTGGTTTCTTTAATTTATTTCTAATTATTAAAAGTTCCTTTCATCTTAATTGTTTTTTTCTATATCACTTAGTCTAAGGAATATGTCAAAGATTTAGGTCCTTTGAAAGATTACACGATTTTAGCATTAAGTAATTTACTCAGTGCAAATGTTGATTCTGGTTTGAAATATTCCCTGTCGATGGGGTATCATGAAGATACCAAGACAAGGACTGCGTTTATGCAGGTTCTTACTAATATCTTGAACCAGGGAACTGAATTCGAAGGTCTCGCGGAAAACGCCATGAAAGATCGCTATGAAAAGCTTGTTGAGGTATTTAATTAAATATGCTATAAATTTATTCGTTAATTGTAATATTAACACTGGGTAATTGTTATTATTAGTTGATAACTGAATCTGACCTAAATATCGCATTGTCGTTATGTGAAGTCTGTCCAGTTTCTGATATCGATGAAGTTGCTAAAACCCTTTTAGCTGTTTTTGACTCTCGAAATAAGACCATGTCATTATTGAAGGCCATTATTGAAAAAGAAGTGATTAGCACAGGTTTGGGATTGATTCGTTGATTTTCGTTATTTATTATTATCGACTGTATGAAATATAAACATTTCACTTTTTAAATAGAGCATGAATCTGATTTATTCCGGCGCAATTGCATGGCAACACGTATGTTGGCTGCTTTTGCAAAAACACATGGGACGGAATATTTGCGTGAAACTTTGCAACCCTTGATAGAATTTCTTCTATCTAAACCGAGTGATTTCAGTTGTGAGCTCAAGCCCGATAATCTAGGTAGTGATGATGTAAATCAAAATTTGCAAAACTTGATTTCCACAGCTCAGGCATTCTTGGATGGGATCTGCGCTTCTGGTCCAAATATGCCAAGGTACTATATTTTAGAATAATAAATGATGATTGTTTAGATTTTTCTTATTGAATTCGTTAAAATTTTATTATATTTAAACAGATCATTCCGAGAAGTATGTCATTACATTAGTAATTCGGTTGAACAAAAATACAAGCCAGCAAAATTCGTCACAGTGGGATCGTTCGTTTTTCTACGTTTCTTTAATCCTGCCATAGTGGCACCGGATAGTGAAAACTTATGCAAACCCATTGAAAATGCTAAAATTCGAAGGGCATTGTTATTAATTACCAAGGTTATTCAGAACCTCGCGAATAATGTTCTTTTCGGTGCGAAAGAACCGTTTATGATTGTCTTGAATAATTTTTTAAATGAAAATATCGTCAACGTAACAACTTTCTTGGAAGAAATTTCCGTGAGTGTTTGATACCGTCTGAATTTTTACTTACAAGGAATGTAATTGACCTTATCTCTAAATAATATTTTAGAAATTACCTCCGACACACTCATTTGCAGATGTGCCAGCAGGAGATAATGTAAACGTACGTAGATTGGAGGATTCTGAACGAAAGGCCCTTCATAGACATCTTATTGAAAACCAAGAAAAGATGGCAAAAGATCTTCAGACACGTAGAGTCAAGTCAATAAACCCAGCCTCTGCACCCGCTAACATTATGCTCGATCAAGCTCAAGCAAACAAAAAGACTTGGGATAAGATTTCTACACTTCTCGCACAACTTGGACCACCTGCAGAAAGCCAAATGAAAGAATTCTCAAATATTGGGACCAATCACTTTGAAACAAATAATCAACTTTTCAAAGAATTCATGATACGACATAAAAATCGTAGCATCGAATCTATAGTATCAAAGAGAGTATTTTATGATGGCGGTATTTCAAAGGTCAGTATGAAAAATACCTTAATGATAGATATAGATTCATATCGATGATTTGCTGAGCTTTTCATTAACTAATTTCACTAATTCAGGAAAAGCGTCGTGTCTTTTATTTAATTTTACGAAGACTTGATGCAGAAGCTACAGATATGGAACTTTTGATGTATCACGTTCTTAAAGTAATTTTGTTTAATTCAATATAATTACGTCTTCAATGAATTTAATTGATCAAAAAAGATTTTGAAATTATGTAGGCGATTGAACCAGCAATGGGCAAACCTTATGAGCTTTTGGTGGATTTAACAATGTTTGGAGCTGCAAATGAAATACAATTACAATGGGTTCAACAATTTATGCACGTTCTTCCATTTGATGCTATAGAAAATCTTCACACGTTGTATTTTTATAACACGAACACTGCTTTCAAGAAATTTTTCAAGAAATTAGCACGAATTTTCACAAGTAAAGTTACTAGAAAAATCATATTTCTATGTAATTTAAACGAACTAAATGAATATATTTCACCGGCTGAAATTCGATTGCCAAAAACAACAAGTAGGAAAAGTTTATCATCGTTTATCTTTGAAAGTTAATTAACATACGTAAACCTTTATTCATAATTGAAAAACTGTTCTACAGTGCAACTGGATACAGATCTAATGGTGGTATATACCCCAGTAACGAGAATTTCACATTATAGGATGCAAGTACCGGTCATAATAAAAATTAGCCATGATACTATACAAGTTTTGACGGTAAATTAATATTACATCCATGAAAAAAAATTTTATTCAGTTTTATCATTATAATAATTTTTCTCTTTCGTTTCATAATAATAATAATAATCATGAAAAGATAAAAAAGCAAGACCTAATTAATGGGTTAAGCTGTCAGCTAAATGATGTGTATCATATTTCCGAAATCGAAGACATCAGCATATCTTCACATAAAAACGACGATAACGAATTTACCATCAAACAAGATCGGGGTAGACCTTCACTAGTATTTACCAGCCCCAAAAGAGACAATATTATGTCATCGATTCGTTCTTCTAAAGCAAGGTATCAAATAGCAAGGCCAACAAACATAACAGAAAGAGTAATAAGACCAAGCGATGTTCCAGGGACATTGCTAAATATGGCTTTGTTGAATATTGGTAGTGATGATCCAAATTTGAGGCTGGCCGCTTACAATTTACTCGTAGCTTTAAGCGCCATATTTAACTTTGATGTTGGTGGTCAATTATTAGGAGCGAAAGGTTACTTTGTATATAATTATATACGTATTATTTTTTTCTTTTCTTTCATTATTAGTTTTTAATCTTAAATCTGGAACAACAAATTTTATAGGATTATGTATACCGGCAAATAATACGTCGTTCGTTGTCGGGTTGAGCGAAAGGCTTGCAACTTCGGTTCCTCAGCTTACTCCGGACTTTTTGGGCGAATTCTTTGTTGGATTCTATAAATCTAGCACTACCTTAAAACATTTGTGTCTTCAGTATATGGCTCCATGGTTAATGAATCTGTCACAATTTACTAGGAGTGGAGCGGACAGCCAACGAAACATTAATAGAACGAGAGAAATTATAAGGAATTTAATCGAGCTGACAACAAAAGAAACTGAAGTATGGAACAACCAATTCTATTGATCAGTGTGTGAAATTCATATTCTTATAACCACCTCCTTTTGCTTTTTAGATGTATACTGCTGTTCAATCAAAGATATGGAATACCTTAGGAAAAGTCGATGAAATCACAAATATAATAATTGAAGAATTTGTTCAATACGCTGTCGATCATGGCATTAGTTCTCCCCAATCTGAAATAATCGCAAATACGATTGTGACTTTATCGTCTGTTAACATTCGAGGAAAAATAATTGCGAAATTAAGAAAAGTACGAGTCATTTTATCATTATTCATTATTTTATTAATTATGCCTTTTTTGTGCTGATCAGTTTATTTCTTTCAGGTCATTGGGAGGACATCAATAAAGGCCACTAGAACTCTTACTGATAACCCAGCCTGGCCAGAGATTGCCGTTTTAATACGGTTCAATCTAATGTTATCATTTAATAATCGCAATGTACAGCTGTACTTGCCCGAATTATTTTATGTCATTTCAATACTAGTGGCTACTGGACCTCCACTTATTAGGGCTTCAATACACGGCCTTATTGTCAACTTGGTGCAATCCCTTTGCACTTCGATGCCCTTGAATGAAATCAGTGTTAAGAGATTAACATTGTTGCTAACAGAATTATCCGAACCAAACTTTCGTTACTTTTTTGGGTTGAATAATGTTCCCGGTAATGCTTTTGTTATATCATCGGAATCTACACATGATTTGCCAGACACAATGCCACTAGCTTCTTTGGAAAAGATTGTTCAGGCACTATTGGAAGTTATGGTTTGTGGCGCAGGCTCAATTGGTAAGCGTGCTAATAAAATATTTTTTGACTCTCGTTTCTTTAAAATTTTTTATAAAAAAAATTAATTCAATCTTTTTTTTTTTTTTTTTTTTATAGACATGTCAAACACATGGAGGGCTCGATGGATGGGGCTTGTTGCCAGTACAGCATTTCAACATAATCCAGCAGTACAGCCAAGGGCCTTTGTGACGCTAGGCTGTCTTGCGCGTGAAGAAGTTGATGATGATCTTTTATACCAAATTTTAGTTGCTTTAAGAGGAGCTTTGTCAATGTTTACCGAGAACGATTGTTCACTTATTATTAGTATTGTAATGTGTCTTACGAACATTGTAGAAAACTTACCTGCAGACTGCCGGTATTTACAATCATTGTTCTGGTTAGCGATGGCACTCGTTCAAATAAGTCATATTCCCGTATTTCCAAGCGCAATTAATTTATTAAATGTAGTTTTAAAAGCATTAGATGTCAATAATTTCTTTGCAAATGAAGACATTGCAACAGTTTTATTAAAAGCTCGTGTTCCTTTGGAGTCTATAGCAAAAAGCATGGATAGAGAAGCAGGCGTTAATTATGACCATTTTTCATTTGCAGTTTCAGCGATACTATTAAAAGGATTAAAAAATCCTGTTACAAAGACTGGAACAAAAGACGTTTTGAATGCATTTTTGGATATTGCATCTAAAGGGGTTGGAGATCAATCAAATAACATCATAAATTACAGAATGTTAGGATACTTGGCTGCATTGTTACCAGTTTCAGCTAAAAATGCGGACATGAAAGAATTACTTTGGGTTTGTGGAATAGTTGATTCCGAAGTTGATAATTCAGAGTTAGGGACAACGTATTATAAAATATTTGAAAAACTTGATATCCCCGACAATAAAACTGCTTTGCTATTAATTTCCTTGATGGTTGCCATGTTACAAACTGCAGAACATGAACCCGAAAGGTTATTCTTGTACGGTTTTTTGGCAGAAGCCGCTTCAGCTTTGCCTCAAGTATTTGCTTTAGTGTATCCTTTTTTTTTTAAAAAAAAAAAAATGATTGATATATATATATATAGTTGTTATAATTTAATTAATTCCTTAACCAATAACTTTTGATTATTATTACAGGTATGATTCTTTACTCCCAAAGATGACACAAATAATCAATAGTAGTGAGACTATTCCAATTCTTGATTCCGTTCAGTCCATACTATATACCGTGATTTCTTCTGAAACACAATTTCCATCTAACAGAGTTGTAAGTCGAATAAATCAAATGCCTTCATATCTTGAAGACATAGGATTCACAAATTTAATGGATTGTGGGTCATTCCAAACTATAACGAGAGAAAAAATGAAAACTAATGCAATGTTAGCAAGTGAATTGGTAGATAAAATAATAAGTGGTTAAATTTTTTTTTTTTTAAAAAAAAAAAAGGTAACGAGAGAAAAAAGAAAAAAAAATTTTTTCAAAATAAAAGTATTCTTTAGATAATATAGTAGTAGATGGTTTGTTATTTATAAAAAAAAAGAAAATTCTGTTAATAATTATAATATTCTGTATAAGTTTAGATTACTATTATTATTTATTTATTTTTAGGTAGAATCCAATTGCTTTTTTTTTATATTAATAGTAGCTAGTTTTATTCAATTTTATTTAAATAATTTAATATCTTTAAAAAATATATTAACACAATTTAATAAGATGTGAATAAACTAACTTTTTTGTATTTATTTATTTGCAGATTTTGTTAAATTTTAACATTTATAATTTTTAATAAAATTTAGTTTATTGAAATTATTAAATAAAGAAATTAGAATTTAATATAATTTTATAATAGTTAAACTATTTATTTAAATAATTTTTTTTATATTTAGCTTAGGAAAAAGAATGCTGAATGCTTGCGTTATAATGCTTAACTTAAAAAAGAATTTGTATTATAATGGTTGATTTAAAATAAATATGATCTATGATTTTGAGAATATTATACTAACCAAGTAATTCAATTTTTGGTTAGTTTATTTTTCTGCCTTTTTTGTTGCTTAGTCTTATATGCGTTTAAAGAATATATATATATATAAACTTATTTAAGCTTATTTGAGCTTATTCAAACTTATTCATAGCTCTTAAGCTTTAGACATATGCTTATGGTTATTACGAATAATAGATCAATATATAAGAATTTTTTTTGTTTACATAAATCCTTTTAGAAAAGAAAAAATTAAAACCAATTAATAAAGTAAAATACTATAACTTATTCAGAAATATCACTCAGTCAATATTCTCATCAATTTTTTTTTTTTAGGCTAATTACAGGAATGCTATAACTAATCTGAAAATATTATAGCTATTTCTTTCATCAAATTCAAAAAAAGAAACAATACAGAACAAAAATATCATAATTAATTTAATCATTCCTTTCACCAATTTTTTTTATTTATCTAAATAAACTGTAAAGATCAAATTATCATGCCTGTTAAATTACCTTTGATTTATATGATACACTCGATTAATAAAAGAGATTCTTCTGATTATGTAATAAAAGAAGTGATCAGTATTGTAAAAAAAGAAGGTTTTCCAAAAAATCCCTTAGTATCCAAATGGGTTTCCATATTTACACACAATAACATATTGAGGTTTACAGGAAAATTTATATTCAATAAAAATCCTCCTCATGATGATACACTAGAAGTAAATAATTTGCATCAAAATATCTTTTATTTTAAAAAAATAAATAATAAATTTAATTAACAATCACCATCTTACTATTCTAATATTTAAATAATAATGAATACTGAAGACCTGATCGAAATAAATCAAGAAAATCTTCCTGTTAGTTCTATTTCAGTATTTGTAACAGGTTTTGCTACAGGACCGCCAATTGATATCAAAAGGAATAAAGAGATGATGCCTATCCATTGAGATGAGTTAGTTCACAAATATAATTGAGAGGATGCGGATGTTCTTGATGGACTTTCTGTATACTTTAACAGGTAGAATAGATGAAATGGGTATAGAATCTCCCATGATTTAGAAAAGATCGAAATGTTTGTCCAAATATTTTTCAAAAGTGAAACCATCTAATTTGGCTGCTAAGAGAAAGGCTGACCACCAGTCTTTAAAATTAGATGAAGTATCATAGGGCCAACTGGTGATTGGTGACAAATGTAACTATTTCAAAAGTTAAAGTTGCATAATTCTCAGTCTAGCGGTATTTCCTAGTAGAGCTATATCATTGATTATTTTTAATAAATTAGAAGATTTGACTAACATTTGTTTGTTATAAAGATAAGCCAAATTGTATCTAAAGGTTGAATGAATAATAGGAGCTGGTAAGGATTTAGTTAAACGCAATTTGTTTTTGAAAAAAGCTCTAAAGAATGTCATCATCGTGTTGTAAAATGTTACTAGTAAAAGGTTAACTTAGTTTTATAAATGATTTGAGAAATAATTACCAAGTTGAAAACTGCAACAATTTGTTTTGCTGTGAGCTGTTTCTTATCCAGCATGTTTTTAACTTTTATAAATTCTGTTGAGACCTGATTTCTGATATACATTATATTATCAAATAGTGAAATCCAAATCCTAAGATAGCGAGTGGAATCTTTATAAGAGAGTAGTGAAAGCTAAATATTCTTGTTATTAAACATGAAGTTAACAATACTAGAGTCTTTAATATTCGTCATCAGAACTGATTTCTCCCAATTAACTTAAATACTATTTAGGGTATAAAATAAGTTAGCAATAGTCATAATATTTTGAAGATTCACTCTAGAATCTGCTATCCAGAGGGTATCATATATATAAGCAAGTGCTGAAATGTAATTTAAAAATTAATTAGTAGACCGTCTGGTAATATCTTTCCTCTAATTAACACTTTAAGTGTATCCTAATAATGAGTTTTAAATTTTGCATAATAAAGGATCATAATATATGCATCACAAAATGGGTGAGATAATTTCTTCTTAATCTATTTCTGAAAGGACATAGTAAATATCAGTGTTTCCATGAGCAGTAAATATTTAATTGAATCGTAAAGTGAAAATTAAAATTATGAAGTGAACAAAGGACATAAGAAGATGTAATCTAAGTAAGGCTTGAATCAGCATCCCTAGATTGACTCTGTTATACGTTTTTGACATATTCTAAAAAAGGATCTAAAGATTATTATGATAAAATGATACATCATATTTGATATTATCAAGAATATTGATGGGTTTAAAAGTGCTTTTGAAGGGAAAGTCTGCGAAGTTATTGCCTTTTAAGATATTGTATTTAGCTAGAATAGTAAGAAGTCTATTATTGACGAGCTTGATAAGAGCTTTTTTAAGATATTCTAATAAGATAATCAGGCAGGTATGGTTTAGGTTAAATTCCCATAGTTTTAGTTTGGGAATTAGATATACAAAAGTCAAATTCCATCTATAAGGTATCAAATTGTAAGTTAGACAGCAACATACAATTTTCTAAAAACATTTGAAAGTGAAGGGACCAAGGTGTTTTAGTATTTCATTTGATATTTTGATGGGCCAAGAGCTTTACTATCAGGTAAAAAATTAATGATGTCAGACTATTCTTCTTCTGTAAGAAGTTGTATGAGGAGATCATAAATAGTAGGATCAATATTATCTAATAGATCATATTCATCTTTCTATAAATCTGAGATTGATGGGTTAGAGTATCTATGCTGGAAATGTTGAGCCATTTCTCTTTTAATATCAGTAGGATCTGTGAGTAACTCTTTTTTAGGACTGTCATTATTAATACATCTGTCTAAGAGAATAGTGATGTGAGAATGATCAAGGAGAGAGTCAAATATGGCTGATTGATTTGTGATGAAATTCTTATATCATTGTTTGATTGCTTCTTGAATAGATTTTGTCTTATATTCTGTTTCTTGTATTTTTGCAGTAGCTATTAATACTTTTTTGAGATCTTTAAGAGCAGGAGTTGTCATTGATAAGAAATTCAAAGAATATATAGTTGACATAAATAGAGTAATGTCATAATTCTTGGAGAATTGTAAGGCTTTGTCAAAAAAATAATCACATTTAGCATCATAAACTTCACTGGATAAGCAAGATTTTGAATAGTCTTTCAGTTTATGAAGCAATTTAATATGTTTGTAAATTAATTTTAGCAATTTAGGTCTAAAGTCACAAGTATGATGAGAAGTGTATTTGTTGGAAATTTGTTTCAAAGCTACGTCTATTATGGCTTTTTGAAAAAGGTCTTATATGAAATTAAGTTTGTATATATTAGAGATATTATCGAAATTTACAGAAACCAATCTTGAATTATTATATTAAGCATCAACAGTAACAGCAAAGGTAAACCAGTTCTCATCTGACATATCCTGATAAAGGAAAACAAGTTTTTTCATTATTGAGGCATTGTTGAAACTTGGGTTGATAGAAGTAAAGGTAATAGAAGCAAATACCATTTGATGATCTGAGATTGAAGTGTCTATAGGAATGACTTGATGGTTGTTTAAATCAGGAATTAAAGATGGAATAATAAAAATATAATCAATCATTGATTGTGAAAAATCTTGAATATATATGTGGAGATCATCAATATTTTTGACTGATTTGACAAAATCAAGGGTGTTGATAAAATTATTGTTAGTTATGTAATCTATAAAATGTTGTGAATGCAAAGGATTATAAGATCTAGATGGATCAGTATTAAAATCACCTAAAATAATAAGAAAGAAATTAGCATGAGTAGCTTCGTCTATAAGAGTACGCATTTGTTGAATTATTTTTAAACAAAGGGATTCATCAGAACTAGACAGGTAAATGTTAATAACACAAAACTTGTTTTGTTTTTAAATTGAAAGTTAAGACAAAAAATTTGATTAAAGTAAAATGAATGATGTAAAATATGATCAACAAGGTATTTCTTAATGAGAAATCCCATACCAAAATCAGAATGTCAAGTATCTAAATTAGTAGAAAAAAAAGGTACAAAATTGTTATTGCAAATCTGTTTAAAGGAAAAATAATGAAAGGATATAGTGAAATTAGTTTCTTGTAATGCAATAATATCTAAATGGTTAATAGAGTAAAGGTCAAATAAAAGTTGTTGTTTGAGTAGGTCTAACAAAAGTGAGTATTATGAGTTGCAACATTAAAGAAAGTGGGGTGAATTTACGATTTGTATGATTATATGTTAAATTCATATAAATTGATTAGAAAAAGAGGTTGGGATAGGTAAAGCTAGAGCCATCTTCATTAATTCATACAGCACCTGATTTGTTTAATTGAGGAATAAGTATGTTGAGTATTTCGTTAGATTTTTCATATACAAATTTTTGGATGCAAGCTATAGCTTTGAGAGCAGTGTTAAGCTTTTTAATGTTTTGTTTGTTATTTAGATGTAGTTCCTCATTTTCTTGAGCAAGCCAT